CCCATGTTGGTTTCTGAGCTTCTGACAAATGCTTCATGTTAAATAAAAGGTTAACATTGGGAGAAATGAGTGAGAGGTACACAGAAGCTCTCCACATATCTCTGCAACTTTTCTGTAAATCTAAAATTATTCCAAGTTTTTTTTTTTAATCTGAATTTAAAAAACTTTCTACTGATTTTTGTGTAATTTGTGATCATGAATTAATTATATTTTATAAAGATAGAGTTTGTTCTTTTGAGAAAGCCAATGCTGCTAAGAAAATCCATGAATTCATTACAAGTTTAAAGTTACTTGGACAAGTATTTCAATAATAAACATTGATAAACCATTAAGTTGTTTTTAAGACAGAGTTTCAGGCCGGGCGCGGTGGCTCACGCTTGTAATCCTAGCACTTTGGGAGGCCGAGGCGGGTGGATCACGAGGTCAAGAGATCGAGACCAGCCTGGTCAACATGGTGAAACCCCGTCTCTACTAAAAATACAAAAAATTAGCTGGGCATGGTGGCGCGTGCCTGTAATCCCAGCTACTCAGGAGGCTGAGGCAGGAGAATTGCCTGAACCCAGGAGGCGGAGGTTGTGGTGAGCCGAGATTGCGCCATTGCACTCCAGCCTGGGTAACAAGAGCGAAACTCCGTCTCCAAAAAAAAAAAAAAAAAAATTGAAAAAAAAGACAGAGTTTCGCTCTGTTGCCCAGGCTGGAGTGCAGTGGCACAATCTTGGCTCAATGCAACCTCTGCCTCCTGGGTTCAAGTGATTCTCCTGCCTCAGCCTCCTGAGTAGTTGTGACTACAGGCATGTGCCACCACGCCCGGCAAATTTTTGTATTTTTAGTAGATGGCATTTCGCTATGTTGGCCAGCTGGTCTCAAACTGCTGACCTCAAGTGATCCACCCGCCTCAGCCTCCCAGACTGCTGGGATTACAGCGTGAGCCACTGCACCCAGCCGATAAACATTAAGTGTTAATAATGGCTTACAAAACTGTACCTTTTATAAAGCTTTGAAATAAATTATCAATTGAGAGTTCCAAACATTTAAATGGAATCCCAGTTTGCTCAATTAGCCACAAGGCATACATGTGTCTTGTCTCAGTAGAACAGACCAATTCAAGTTGGATGATACTAGGTTCCTGGCAATGACACATCTCCAAAGTGAGGAAGACGGCCCTTTCTCCAGAAAATATTTTTTCTTCTGCCCTGTTCTAACTGTAATAACTTACAAAGAACCACCTCTCCCTATGCTGTGCTTCTGTAACTTTGGAAAGTCAGTTCATCTTACTAACTTTGGCCATGGGTTACCCAAAGGCTACACATGGCTTGAGGGCCTGCGCCAGGGAAAGGTTAACAACCAGCCGTAGGCAAAGACCACTCTAGGAACAAAACTGAGCATTCCAAGAGATTGAAAAGTTTTCAACATTCATTGACATCTTCAGAAGCTGCTGAAGTTTCCTGGGATTTGCTCTAAACATATGGTAATAATTTTCAGTGTAAATAAGAGATCTATAAAAGGCAGTCATTTATGTTTTGCCTTTTACATCCCTTTGGCTCCAGTTAAAGGTTTTTTAAAAAGCAGTATCAAGCACAAATTTTAGTAAGACCACAGTTCGTAAAAGGTTACAGTCTTTAAAAATCTATTATAAGGAACAAGTGCTGGGAAATAAATATCAAAGCATAACAGCAAATAGCGCCTTGATGAATTATGTTAAATATCTTTTCCTTTATCTCATCAAGTCCATCTTTACTCCAATTTGGCAAAGGTTATAGCAAAATATGACATTTATCATGTGAGTAGCTCATAAAATGGGAGTGGCTATACTTCTGAATTGCATTCACATCACCTTCAAGGCATATGACATTTAGATATCCTGGGTTGGCTCTCTACGAGGTTATCAGCTGATGGTTCCAAATTTTACAACTGGAAAAATGAAAACCTTGTCCTTATAAGTAGTCCTAACAGAAATGTGACTTACTCATATGCTTAATGGGCTACAGAGAAACAACAAACATTATGCTGTATTTTAATTACATATGTGTAATTAAAAGAGGCAAAAAATTTTAAAAAGTCTGTTCCTTCTAGGCTTAAACGTGTATTTAAAATTTCGTAGTAAACAAATATTTGTAAGTGATGTTTTTCCTATATTTCCAAATCAGATAATGTTGAACAGACCTTATAATGAATTTTATATTTGATTTCTCTTTGGTAAATATAGCTGTGAAAACTGAGTTATATATTCTTCTATTCAAAAATTCTCCCCTTAATGAGCACTTGTTTTTGATACTGGTCAAGACATTTGGCATACTAAGGGAGCAGTGCCCGGGAAGATACCTGAGAAGACAAGCGTGCCCTCCCCTTATTATCTCCCTTTTTTTCTTTTTTTTGAGACGGAATTTCGCTCTTGTTACCCAGACTGGAGTGCAATGGCGTGATCTCGGCTCACTGCAACCTCCGCCTCCTGGGTTCAGGCAATTCTCCTGCCTCAGTCTCCTGAGTAGCTAGGACTACAGGTGTGTGCCGCCACGCCCAGCTAATTTTTGTATTTAGTAGAGATGGGGTTTCACGATGTTGGCCAGGATGGTCTTGATCTTGACCTCATGATCCGCCCGCCTCAGCCTCCCAAAGTGCGGGGATTACAGGCACTAGCCAGTGCGCCCAGCCCTTAAATTTGCATTTTGAGGGATTACAGGCACGTGCCACCATGCCCAGCTAATTTTTTGTATTTTTAGTAGAGATGGGGTTTCACCATGTTGACCAGGATGGTCTCGATCTCTTGACCTTGTGATCCACCGCCTCGGCCTCCCAAAGTGCTGGAATTACAGGCTTGAGCCACCGCACCCGGCCATCTCCCTTTTTTTCTTTGAGGTTTTAAGATCAAGATATAAGTTATTTTAAGGTCTCAAAATAATCCTTTCACAAAAATAAAGACAGTTTTATGTTGTAAAAACATTAGTTATTTGTCAAAGGTTATGGTCTTTGGTCTTCTTCCATCACCAGCTGTCGGCATCTCCTAAAGATCGGTTTTTTCTTCATAATGACACCTGCATGCGGCTCGCTGGCTGTCCAGATATGGTTTACAACCTAAATGTATAACACTGTCAAACAAGAGCTCCACTGTTGTTTCACAGGCTGCAAAATAAGAAAATGTGATTACTGTTGGGCAACTGCAAAGCACGGCTCTCTCTTCACCTATGTTACACATTACAGCACAGCAACAAGCACATCCTAGTGAGCACTGAAATGTATGCTGGATCAAAGTCACCAAACTGTCACAAGCCAGTAGCATATTTACATACATACACGTATCTACAGACTTCCAGTTTTAGTCTTGTTATCATGCATCTTAGTTTTTGTTGGCATTCAACTGTTCAACCCAATTGTTTTTTTTAATACAGGCTCTCACTCTGACACCCAGACTGGAGTGTCACGGTGCAGTCACAGCTTACTGCAGTCTCATCATCCTGGGCTAAAGTGATCCTTCCACCTCAGCCTCCTGAGCAGCCGGCACTATCATGGCCAGCTAATTTTTAATTTAAATTTAATTCTTAATTTTAAATGGACATGACCTAACCCAGCTATTTTTTTTTATTTTTTATTTTTAGTAGAGATGAGGTCTCACTATGTCGCCCAGGCTGGTCTCAAACTCCTGGGCTCAAGCAATCCTCCTACCTTGTCTTCCCAAAGTGCTGGGATTACAGGCATGGGCCACCATGCCTGGCCCAATTGTTTAAACTAGACAAATATGTCTTTTAAAATAGCACTGATTAATCAGTGTTAACTTTCTTTTTATTTGAAAAACATAATCACTAAGAGGTATGTCTGATAATACTCTTAAATTTTCATTTTCTGTTGTTGTTGAGACAGAGTCTCACTCTGTTGCCAAGTGCCAGGCTGGAGTGCAGTGGCGCGATCTCGGCTCACTGCAATCTCCGTCTCCTGGGTTCAAGCAATTCTCCTGCCTCAGTCTCCTGAGTAGCTAGGACTACAGGTATGTGCAGCTAATTTTTGTATTTAGTAGAGATGGGGTTTCACGATGTTGGCCAGGATGATCTCGATCTCTTGACCTCATGATCCGCCCGCCTCAGCCTCCCAAAGTGCAGGGATTACAGGCACGAGCCAGTGCGCCCAGCCCTTAAATTTGCATTTTGAGAAAAGATGTTTTATGTGCAGAAGAAACAAAGCCTAAAAATTGAAACCTCAAAACATTTCATCATGGCCAATGGCTTCTGAGGACTGATCATATATCAGTTAAAAGGCGTAAAGTAAATGGAACCCAGTCTCTTTGACCAATGTACAAATTTGACTTGGAGGCACAGGAGCACAGAAATAAAAAGTATTTTTCCCTAGTCAGGTTTATTTTGTCTATTTATTTTTTGAGACAAGGTCTCACTCTGTTGCCCAGGCTGAAGTACAGTGGCATGATCTTGGTTCACTGCAACCTCTGCCTCCTGGGTTCAAGCGATCCTTCCACCTCAGCCTCCTGAGTAGCTAGGACTACAGGCACCTACCACCACGTCCAACCAATTTTTCTATTTTTTTTGTTAGAGACGGGGTTTCACCATGTTGGCCAGGCTGCTTTCAAACTCCTAGGCTCAAGTGATCCACCAGCCTCAGCCTCCCAAAGTGCTGGGATTACAGGCGTGAGCCACTGCATCCGGCCCCAGTCAGGTTTTTAATTTTTTTTTAAGACTATAAAAAGGTAATTTATTTACTTTTCTTATTTTAAGAAACCTGAAACATCCAGGTGAGATTATCTTAATGTGTTACACTTACAGAGCTATAGCACAGAGTGGCTTTTAGTTATCCAAAAACTTTTCATTTCAAATATGTATGTTAAGGAAGAAACTTTTCATTACAAAATCTTAACATTTGCAAAGTTCTCCAAAAGACTGCCATTAAAAAACAACCAACCACAGGAGTGCAGAGGCTATGACTATTAAACAGGAGGTTACAAGATAATTGGTTTCACATTCTCCTTAAATCAGAAACAAGAAATAAAAACAAGGCTATGACTATTAAATAGGAGGTTACAAGATAATTGGTTTCACATCCTCCTTAAATCAGAAACAAGAAATTCTATGCTTCAGAAGTTCATAGCCAGCTTACCTTAGCCAAAAGCTGCAAAGGGATACAGGGGCTGTGAATTCAAGATTACCTGCAGCAGAGATTTCTTCCTTGACATGAATTATTGGGATATTAGAATCAGGGTTACAGTGTGAGACTATTTGGAGAATATTGTGAAATAGAACACAGATTTTAAAGTCAGATAGGCTAAATGCTCACTTGGGGCAAGTTACTGTATTCTAAACCTTTGTTTCTTTCCTTGAAAAATGGTAATAACACCACCTACCTCTTTAGGTTTTTGTTGGTGTCAAATGAAAACATGAATAAAGTGTCTAGCACAGTACCTTATGATAAGTGCTTAAAATGTTATTTTCCTTTCCCACCTTGCCTCTTCTGATTGCGGTGTATGGTATGTTCTTTGGCTTGACAGTAGAGAAATCTTGTAACTACTAGTATTTGAATGGTGATTTACTTGTATTTCCACAAATACTTCATTTCATTCTTATGGCAACTCTATGAAGTGAGTATTATCATTCTCCTCATTTTAAAAATGACACCAAAGGGCCCTTTCCCTTTGCTAGTTTGGCTTCGTATCACTTCAACATAATATATCATGGCAGGGAGTATATATGCTGAGTTCTGTGAGTCCTCTTAGTGAATCACTGAACGTGGGGGTCATCTGGGGATCTTGCCAACAGAAGGAGTGTTAAGTCTTCCAGAAATTCCTACTCCAAATCCAGTGTGTTAAACTCTTAAATTCACTGGTGGTATGGTCTGAATGTTTATGTCGCTCCAGAGTTCATGTTGAAATCCTCACCTCCAAAGTGAGGAAATAGAAGGTGAGGCCTTTGGAGGTGTTTAAGGTCAAAAGGATGGCAAATATGATTAGTGCTCTTAAAAAAGAGGCCCCAGAGAGCTATCTAGTCCTCTCCATTAAGTGATGACACAGTTGGAAGGCATCTTCTACGAACTAGAAGATGAGTCCTCATCCTATACCAAATCTGCTAGTGCCTTGATTGTGGACCTCCCAGCGTCCAGAACTGTACAAAATAACTTTCTGTTGTCTATAAGTCGCCCAAGACAACTGGAATCAGAGTTTCAAACTTTAGCTACTTCAGGTTCTTACACGATGACTGGACATATATTTCACGGCACAAGGTAGATGAATTCTTCTCTCTCTCGGCCTTAGACACCCCCACTCTCCCAAGGTTTCCTAATGCTTTTTGGTTCTGTGACTATAAATCATTTTAAGTTACAAAATCATCAGCTCTTCACCCCAGAAAATTGAAGTCTGTGTCACAACAGATAATATATGCGAACATTTTCTATTGGCAAATCCTATACTAAAACATAAAGCATTTGATAAAACTTTAAAAAGTATACTCATTCCCAAGTGGCCAGATCCTTACCCTGAACATGCTGAGTTAGTCCTAGTGTTTTCTGTACATCTCGGCAGATCTTGGAGAGGCAATACTGGAACTCCTCGTCGCAGTCATTCTTGCTTTTGCCACAGGTCTCATAGCACCTATCGTGTTGGTTGCAGCATTTTGTCAGGGAAGGGATACCAATGTTAAGCTGAAAGAGGCGTTGGATGGATTACTGTCAATGAAATGCTAAACTCCTCTGCTGAAGTACCGCCCTCAAATAGACTAAATGGATACAAATGACAATGACTGCCGTATAGATAGTTCCAAACTTCGTTTCTGCCCATTACACTTACCCATACCCACCCACGTTACTCTCAGCCATGCCTCACTGCTCCCTATTCTGCAGCATTAGAGCACTCAGTTACCTGTCAGTAACTAACACAACTTCCATTTATCCAAAACACAAAATGTAGTTTTAAAAACAGAAAGATAAGGCTAAGTCTATTAAAGAGTCCCCAAGGGCTAGGCAAGTATGATTTTTCGATATTCAAAGTGTTTTGTGGCCTCTTTTTTCAAATAAAATTGACTTTATGTAAAATATCACAGAAAACTTTCCTATAACTCAAATTTTGTTTTTTTTTTAATCTTTACTTCTCCATTCCCCAAAGATACTATTATTCTGAATCTATAATTTCAATTATTTTAAATAACTTTATACATAAAATCCTTGTGCATAGGAATCATTCTCATAAACATTTTTTTCCCATAATTCTTGGCTTACATCCCGTCTTTCCTACAACAACCACACAGCTATCCCACTTGGCCTTGTTTTAATGTAGAAAACATGGTTTATCTATACTTTTTCCCTCTAAGTAGTATTACTTCTGTACTCCAAACTTTTCAACTATGTATATTAGGAAATATCATTAAAATAGTATTAACATCTATAAGATTCAAAAATAAAACAATTTACTTCATTTACTTTTGTTAGAAGTTTTGCCAGAAAGAATCTAATAAACCTGATCACTATGACAACCAGCTAAATTATTTGTGTATCTGAGAACATGGTGGTAGTCTTATATCTCCCAAAAGTATTACATAATTTACCAGTCATAAAATTTATCAAATAAAAGACAATATTTACATGAACACCAAACAGTGGAGAGCCACATCCATTCGGTGGGGAGGGTTTATAACCATAACGTGGGAAAGGCTTAGATCCTATAAAATATAAATGATATCATAATTAATTTTCAAACATGATAAAAATAAAATACATACTCAAAAACGTCCACAATATGCTAGACTTGCCTTAGAAATATTTAGTATTTATTTGGATGCTAACATATTTGTCTTTATTCTGATGAGCATTAAGAATGCTAATTTGACTATTTTTATTTCTCCTGTGGTGAGGAATATATACAATGTCCACATATATAAATATACACATATATAGCAGTTCATAAAATGTAATTATTTGTACACCTATGCCATACAAAACATACAAAAGCTTACTCTGGACTTCTGGAGATTTCAGAGGACACTTGCCAGATGGGGTCCATATGTATGAAAGATAAATCCACCCTGTTTTCCTGTACATTCCAACACTTTATATTTTTAGAGCTAAGACAGTATCTTCCCAAACTCCCACAAATGCTTCATTGCATACAAACCTCGATAACCATTAACTAACCAGTTTACCTGGCCTAAGGCTAAGGAAGACAAGGTCATCTGATGATCATTTAATAACCTTAGTACTACAAGACATTACAGGACCACACATTCTGCCTGATGCCCTCCCACCCAGTCAACCATTCCACAAATATGGTCCTTTTTTAAGGAAAAGGTTAGGAGGGATACCTGATGAACTACGGAACTTCTGGAATATCGTAGTTCTAATGAAGTACTTCTAATGAACAGAAGATTTGGAAGGCTAATGCTCCCCAGTAGCATCAAGGGTTCAGTAACAAGGAGAAAGATGACATAATCGTAGCAATCTTAAATTTTGAAGGGTATTTCAGAAACATCTCACCTGATTTAATACAGGCTTACCTCAGAGATACTGCAGGTTCAGTTCCAGACCGTCACAATAAAGCCAATATAACAATAAAGTGAGTCACACATGTTTTTTGGTTTTCCAGTGCATATAAAAGTTTTGTTGGCTGGATGTGGTGGCTCACACCTGTAATCCCAACACTTTGGGAAGATGAGGCGAGTGGATCACAAGGTCAACCTGGCCAATATGGTGAAACCTCTCTCTACCAAAAATACAAAAATTAGCTGGGCGTGGTGGCAGGCGCCTGTAATCCCAGCTACTCAGGAGGCTAAGGCAGGAGAGCCGCTTGAACATGGTAGGTGGAGGTTGCAGTGAGTCAAGATCACGCCACTGCACTCCAGACTGGGCGACAGAGTGAGGCTCTGACTCAAAAAAAAAAAAAAAAAAAAAAAAAAAGTTTTGTTTACACTATACTGTAGTCTATTAAGTGCTCAATAGCATTGTCTAAAAAATCAATGTACAGACCTTAATTTAAAAATACTTTATTGCTAAAAAATGCTGACACAGAGATAATAAGTGAGCACATGCTGTGGGAAATATGGCACCGATACACTTGCTTAATGTAGGGTCACCGCAAAACTTCAATTTGTTTAAAAAACAACCACAATTATCTGTGAAATGCATTAAAGCAAAGCACATTAAAATGAAGTATGCTTGTGTAAAAATCAGTTCAACCTATCAGCCATCTACTATCTTTTTGAAGGTTTCTCACAATCCTCCTATATCAAGAAATAACCTACTCCACTGTTAAATGACATCAACTAAGACCTTCTGCCTTCTTGTAAGTTCTACTCATAAACAATCTTCTGCCCCTTGGGGAAACAGAAAAATAAGCCAACTCCCTATTTTACACAATAATCCTTTCAAATATTTGTGGCTGAAATTTATCTTTCTTTCTAAAATGAGATATTCCCAGGTGTTTTACCCTAAGACATGGCAGTTTGCAAATACAACCCCACAGTCGGATACATAGGATTGACACAAAGTATTCTACCAACTTTCATTTAACTAACATTTATTGGTAGGAGACTTAAACACAGACAAGGTTACCCTCCAAAAGTAAATTGAGGGTAAAAAACAATGCTTTCAGTAACCATCAAAATAAGTAATTCCTCAAAGTAATGATTGAAAATGGTTTCAGGCCAGCATGGGGGCTCATGCCTGTAATCCCAACACTTTGGGAGGTAAAACTGCCCGAGCCCAGGATTTCAAGACCAACCTGGGCAATATGAGACCCTGTCTTCATTAAAAAAATAAAAAATAAAAAAAAGAATTAAAAAAAAATAAAAAAAAGGGAAAAAATGGTTTCAGTGAGTTGCTCAGAAGTTCCATGCTCAACTGAGGTCACCACATACAGCCTCCGTTGGGTAGTACAATCTCATGAAGATATAAAGCTACAGTCTGGTAGGGTGTGGTGGCTCATGCCTATAGTCTCAGCACTTTGGGAGGCTGAGGTGGGCAGATCACCTGAGGTTGGGAGTTCAAGACCAGCCTGACTGACATGGAGAAACCCTGTCTCTACTAAAAATACAAAATTAGCCGGGTGTGATGGCGCATGCCTGTAATCCCGGCTACTCAGGAAGCTTACGCAGGAGAATCACTTGAACCCGGGAGATGGAGGCTGCGGTGAGCCCAGATCATGCCATTGCACTACAGTCTGGGCAACAAAAGTGAAACTGTGTCTCAAAAAAAACAAACCATTAAAAAGGTATAGCCTGCTCTGCCAATGCTAAAGGAGCAATGTATACAAAAAGGAATGGTTAAGATGAGTCTAGAAAGGGGAAGGCCAATGACAGCACTTGGTCTTGTTTCTCCAGCCCTGTCCAAGAGGAAAGATTGTTTCTGGACCCTTGCAAGATGAGGGTAGATGGCTCAGACTATCACACGCTAGTCACCACGATCCTTCAATTATTATCTTCTTTAGTCCTTCATTCCATTTTTTTTTTTTTTTTTTTTTTTTGAGATGGAGTCTCGCTTTGTCTCCCAGACTAGAGTGCAGTAGCCTGATTCTGGTTCACCGCAAACTCCGCCTCCTGGGTTCAAGCTATTCTCCTGTCTCAGCCTCCCAAGTAGTTGGAATTACAGGTGTGTGCCACCACTCCCGGCCAACTTTTGCATTTTTAGTAGAGGCGGGGGTTTCACCATGTTGGCTGAGCTGGTCTCGAACTCCTGGCCTCGTGATCCACCCGCCTTGGCCTCCCAAAGTGCTGGGATTATAGGTGTGAGCCACCGCGCCTGGCCGAGTCTTTCATTCCTAAGAAAACAGTTTATGATTTGGCTTCCTACTTACAAGGGCCTACAGAGGAAGGACATACTAACCATAAACACTTGGATGTTCAGTGGGCATCTCAAGTGTCCCTCCTGACATTTACCTCAAACTTGCTCCATTCACAGTTCCCTGTTTTCAGTTAATGGTGACTCTGTCCTTCCAGATGCTCAGAGCAAAATGCCAGTCATTTTTGTTTACGTTCTTACATTCTTATACCCCACATTCAATCCAACAGTGTATCCTGTTGACTCAACCTTCAAAATATTCAGAATCTAATCACTTCTTACCACTTCCACTACTTCCATCCTGCTCCAAGCCACAATGGATTATTGCTGTAAACTCCTAACTAGTTGCCCTACTTTGGTTCCCCTGCCCCACACTAACCCGCATAATCCAATCTCAACACTGAGCATGAGTGATCTTATTAAAATACATTAGAGCAAGTCTTTCTTCTGCTCATAACCTTTCCAATGGCTTCTCATCTTATTCAGAACAAAACCCAAAGTCTATAGAGCCTATAAAACCCTGTATAACCTGGTCCTCCCATGATTTCTCTGACCTCATCCTCTTTCTATTCTCTCTCTTGCTTTCGTCCTCAATCCATTCCTCTTTGCTGTTCCACAGACATTGCAGGTCTGCTCCTGCCCCAGGGTCTTCAATCCTGCTCTTGCTGTATATGGATGCTCTTTCTCCTGATAGTACATAGTTTCTATTTTACTGCTATGGTTTGAATGTTTGTGTCACTCCAAAAATTCATGTTGAAACCTAATTACCAATGTAATGGTATCAGGAGGTGGGACTGTTACAGATGATTAGGTCATGTGGACATATCCCTCATGAATGGAGTATATGCTCTATAAAAATGGCCCTAAAGAGCTGCCCTTTCCCATTTACCACCATGTGAGGACACAGCTAGAAGGTGCCATCTATCTACAAGGAAGCAGACCCATACGAGATACTGAATATGCCAAATGCTCCATCTTGGACTTCACAGCCTCCAGAACTGAGGAATAAATTTCCATTGTTTATAAGCCACCTAGTTTAAGACATTTTGTTATAGCAGCCTGAACAGACCAAGACATTCATCTTCTCAGCAAGGCTTCCCTGGCCATACTATTTGTAGCACATATGACCTTCTAACATACTATATCACTAACTACTTACTAATCTACTTATTTTATTATGCCTCCCCATACTAAAATGTAAACTCCTTGAGAGCAGACATTTTTGTGTTTTGAATTCCCAATGCCTAGAGCAGGGCCTGGAATAAGTATGTGATGATTTTTTGCAATAAGTATATGATAAATTAATGAAGAGAGGACTTGGAAGGCTAATTTCCATGGCGGTTAGAATATTCATTATAAATGGAGATTACTCATTGAGAAATCCTGCTGTTTACCCTTCAGTCTCTTTTGAGTTTAGTGAGCATTCATCAACCTCCAAAGACTGATCACTTCTAGCTTGTCACATCTCTTTAAAATATGGCACCTAAAACTAAATATTGTAGGGAAAGATGGGCTTAACCTTTCGAGCTGGATAAAGTACTTGTATTAACGCAGCCTAACATAGTATATGTTTCAGCTGTGCCTCACTGCAAACATACATCAGACAGTAGTAAAAAAAATCATCAGTTCTAAAATGGACTTTTTAATATCCACTGCTAGAGGCTTAGCACTTCTGCAATTTAAGTTTGAGCCTAAAGATAAGATTGTATATAATAAGATTCAGTTTAGTTTCAGTTCGCCATTCTCAACTGCTCAGCAGTTTTAAATCTAGAGCTATTGACCCAGTGTTACCTGTTGCTCCCGGATGTTCACAAACTTCAGATGTAGGTATTAATCAGGACAGAGGTCCACGACAAACAAGTCCTCTCTCTAAGCAGCCAGGAAGTCATTA